AAAGGTTGAATCGATCAGTTTTGAGTTAGCATTTTTAGATCGGATTTTTACCGGCCGGCGGCAGTCCGGCGGCGAACTAGTTAGGTTAGGTTGATAGATGATGATATAGACTCAACTCAGAACCAATTGAAATTGTAAAAAACTCGCCGAAAGGTCATCGGAATTGAACTTGAACCGGTGGCCTCGAGAATGTTAAACCTAGTATTAGGCACACCACATGTTCGGTGCAATGCCGCAGAGAGAAAGGGGCCAAACGGCGTCATTTCGGTGCTGTGCTCACCGGAGCAATGGCTGGAGCCGGTGCCGACCGGTCCGATTTGGTCGAACCGATCCAAACCGGTTCAGCCCGGTTTGATGTTCGGCGGGAAAATTCAAAAATAAAAAAAAAATTCACAAAAAATTTAGAAAAATCATAAAAAAAAACATTATAAAATTTAGAAAAATCATAAAAATTCGGAAAATTAGGAAATTCATAAAAAAATCAGAAAATCCAGAAAATCCTAAAAAAATTATAAAATTAAAAAAATGTAAAAAATGAAAATTTAATCTTTTCAGTAATAAAAATTTTCCCGAAAAAAAAATCAAAAATTTAAAAAAATTCACAGAATGGCTTAGAAACCTTGTGGCCACCCACCTTAATTGAAATTGAAATTTTTTGAGGTGCCTAAGTGGTATTTTTTAGGAGCTCCTCAATTTAGGAATTAAAAGGGATCTAACCCCTAAAAGGGGTCTCATCCCTTAAAAAACCCAAAAACAACACAATTCATTGAATAAATAAGTCATTAGGGCTTCATTAGGCATTGGGTGTCGTGATTGATTTTTCATTTTAGAGCCTATTTTAGAAATTATTGTGTTTGATTGAAATTGATTGCGCATTTACCCATCGATTGATTGATTTCTTCCGATTAGAATGGTTAGAATTAGTGGATAGGCCTTACGAACTTGCTTGACACGTTAGACACATCGTATCGTTTTAGGTACCGAAAGGGCATTAGAGATATAGATTCGAGATCATTAGCGTAACCAAGTCCCCTTACTCATGTAATCTCTGGTTTGCAGAATCGTGGTATTTCTCTCATACCTCGATTAGGTTTCTAGTCAACCTACTAATAATGACTAGTGGCGACTCCAAATTAAAACTTAGGCTAAATAGAAAAGATTAAAAAATAAATACTCACTGTCTCATGAGATATGGTCTGGGAGAGACCCTCGTTTGTTTAGTGATGGGATGTCTATGGGACATTTGGACGAAATATCTATTTTGGACCTTAGTAGCCTATTCGGGGACAGTTTCCTCATTCGTGATGAATGAAAGTACCTCCTCAGCGTGCAAAAAGCACGGCGCGACACACGTATGAGAAAGTAAGTGGTGGTTCAGTTTTGATTAGCAACAATGCAGTTTGCAGGATTGTGGGTATTGGTACGATGCGGATCAAATGTCATGATAATATAGTAAGAACTTTGATAGGCGTTAGGCATATCCCAGATTTGAAGAAGAACCTTATTTCGTTGAGCAGTTTAGATTCCACTGGATGCATGTATGTAGGTGGAGGTAGAGGTGGAGTTTTGAAAATTTCAAAGGGCTCCTTGATTGTGGTGAGAGGTAACAAGAAAAATAGCCTTTATGTTCTGCACGAAAGTACAATTATGGGTTCTTCGAATTTATCATCCTCTTCAGAATCTGAGAAATCAATATCATGGCATATGCGGTTGGGCCATATGAGCGGATGAGGAATGAGTATCTTGAGTAAATGCGGTTTACTATGTGGGGATCATATGGTCTCACTTGACTTTTGCGAGCATTGTATTTTCGGGAAGTAGCGCAGAGTTAGTTTCAGTACTGGGGTGCACTCAACAAAGGGCATAGTTGATTATATTCACTCTGATTTGTGAAGACTTGCACAAGTTACATCTAAAGGTGGTGCAGTTTATCTTTTGACATTTATTGATGACTTTTCTAGGAAAGTCTGGGTTTATTTCTTGAAGCGTTAGAATGATGTTTTGGATACGTTCGGGAAGTGGAAGGTGTTGATTGAAAATCAAACTGAGAAGAAGATAAAGCGTCTCAGAACAGACAATGGTCTTGAGTTTTGCAGAGATGATTTCAACAATTACTGTGAATATTCAGGGATAGTCCAATATCGAACAATTAGACACACACCTCAACAGAATGGGGTGGCGGAGCGCATGAACAAGACACTATTAGAGAGAGCTAGGCATATGCTCTCTAATGTAGGACTAAGGAAAGATTTCTGGGCCGAAGCCATGAATACAGTGCGTGTTCTCCTTCTATCGCGATTGAATGTAAGACTCCAAATGAGGTATGGTCAGGTAAACCTTCTGATTAGTCTAATTTGAAAGTTTTTTGATGTCCCGCTTATTATCATGTAAAAGATGGTAAGCTTGAACCTAGGACCAAGAAATGTTTTTCGTTTTGTAGATAGGGTTAAAGGATATAGGTTATGTTGTTCTAATCCCCAGTCACCAAAGTTTATAATCAATAGGGATGTTACTTTTGATGAATATTCCATGCTTAATCAGGGAAAGGTTGTTATTGAGTCTACAGGTATTCAGAAGGAAAATGTTGGGAAAGAGGTGGAGCTTCTCGTGGGGCATCCATGGAGAATATTTGAAGATGTTCCTATTCAGCTGGAAAGTGACAGTGAGCAACAAGACTCGGATTCGGTCAAAGATGACGTTGAAGAAGTTGAGGAACCTCAGACCTTGGCTACAGGGAGAGCTAAACGGCAAATTAAGCCTTCCCAAAGACATGGCTTTGTTGATTTGGTAGCCTATGCTCTTACAGTTGCTGAAGAGCTTGGTATTGAATAACCTTCTACAATTCGTGAAGCTACCATTTGTTCTATATCTGAGAAGTGGCTTTTTGCGATGAATGAAGAAATTGAGTCTCTTCATAAGAACCAAACTTAGGATCTTGTGAAATTGCCTAAGGGCAAAAGAGTTGTTGGATGCAAGTGGGTCTTCAAAAGAAAGGACGGAATTGCAAGGGTTGAAGATGAAAGATTCAAGGCACGTTTGGTAGTGAGGGGTTTTAGTTAGAAGGAGAGGGATCGACTTTAATGAAGTGTTCTCTCAAGTTGTGAAACATAGTTCCATTCGTGTGTTGCTCGCATTGGTGACCCTTTATGATCTAGAACTTGAGCAACTTGATGTCAAGACCGCTTTTCTGCATGGTGAGCTTGAGGAGACAATCTATATTATCAACCCGAGAGATTGGTTGTTGAGGGTAAAGAAGATCACGTTTGTAGGTTGAAATGCTCTTTGTATGGTCTCAAGCAATCTCCACGGCAATGGTACAAGAGGTTTGGCCACTTACGGAGTGCGCATAAAATTGTGTGTACTATAGGAGATTACATGACGATTCTTTTGTTTATTTGCTATTGTATGTGGATGACATGCTTACTGCAGCAAATAACATGTTAGAGATACAACGGTTGAAAAGGCAACTGAGCAGAGAGTTTGAGATGAAAGATCTTGGAGCTGCCAAGAAGATTCTAGGTATGGAGATTCGCAGAGATAGACAAGTTGGGAAGTTATACCTTTCGAAGAAGAGGTATTTTGAGAATGTGCTTAAGTGCTTTGGCATGAAGAATGCCAAACCGATAAGTACTCATTTGGCGTCCCATTTTAGGCTTTTAGCTTCTTTGTCGCCTAAAACCAATAAAGAGGAAGATGAGATGTCTCGAGTTCCATATTATAGCGCTATGGCTAGTCTCGTGTATGCTGTGGTTTGCACTCATCCAGATATTTCCCAAGCTATTAGTGTTGTGAGGAGGAATATGGCACATACGAGTAAAGCTCACTGGCAAGCCGTGAAATGGATTCTTCGATAAATTCGGGGTACATCAGATGTGGGTTTGGTCTTTGATAGAAGTTGTGATATAGGACATTTTGTATATGGTTTCGTTGATTCTGACTATGCAGGCGATCTTAACAAAAGGAGATCTTTGACAAGTTATGTTTATATATTTGGTGGTTCCGCAGTTAGTTGGAGAGCAACCTTGCAAGACACAGTTGCCTTGTCTACCACCAAAGTAGAGTACATGGCAACGACGAAAGCGATAAAAGAAGCTCTTTAATTGAAGCGTTTGGTTACAGAACCTGGGGTGAAGCGGGAGAGAGCCTCTGTTATCTTTTGTGATAACCAAAGTGCGATTCAGTTGACCAAGAACGTGATGTGTCATGAGAGAATGAAACATGTCGACATCCGGTATCACTTTGTGCGTGACGAGGTTTCTAAGGATACAATTACGATGAAGAAAGTACCCACGGCAGATAACCCGACAGATATGTTGATCAAACCAATTCCTTTGACAAAGTTCAAGCATTGCTTGGATTTGATTGCCGTTTTCACCATTTGAGCTGCCGAGGTGGAGTTGGTGGTGTTTCATCCCTTATTTTCTACACCGAGTACACTCACGTAGGCTAAGGAGTGAACGTCGTCGATTCCGCTATTTTGGGGTGGTCTTGTGTGGTCGCTCTTGGTGGTGAGGGAGAGAGGTCTTGTGGCATTTGATATAACACTCTTTTGGAGATTTGAAGTCAAGGTAGAGATTTGTTGAGTTTTGACTTTCAAATTGATGACAAGGGTATTTTGGACCATGCACATTTATTTTTTAGAGGTTTTTTGAAGGGGGACTATAAATGAGATGTCTTGCGCAATGCATCTCTAACCCTAGCTTCCACATTCTCTCCCTTCTCTGTTTTTTCTATTTTCTTGTTTGATCTTTAGGTCTTTTGGCTCACCAAGTGGTTTTTTGAGCTTTTCGATTGTACTTATTGTTGAAGATAGTGAAACCCCTCTCTCTTCCCGTGGTTTTTCCCGTTTTGGATTTTCATGTATATCTTGTGTCTCATGTGGTTCGATTTTGCTTTCATCCTTGCTATTTGTGCTTCGATTTGTGCGTCTCTTGGTATTGTTCCACAACATAAACCGTTAGGACAAATATGGAATGAGAAACTCCTTGCAAGAGACTAACGGAAGATGAACGAAGAGGATTCTCATTTCTCAAAGTAACACACGAACTCCGTATCCCAGTTTATTCAAGTTCTAAACAGCATAGTATAAACAATTGCAATGACTCCTTACTCTAAAACAAAAGGGTCGAGAAAAATGTGCTGAGGCTCGCCGGAATTGTAGTAACTCCTTCAACAACCTGCCTTCTCCACTCGTGGAAGTAGGTCGGATCGTCATCGTTTGTAGGTTTGGCGAGCTAGTAAGCAAAAACTTCATCAATTCCAGCTCTGGCTCACTACCAGAAATCCCACCCATTGATACAACTTGTACTTGTTCCATGCAACATGCTGCGTCTTCCCAAAAGTTTGCCAATTTTCCAATCCATGTAGTCTGTTGATCCTTGGCACGACACTGTGTTTTTAACGATCAAAGACCAATTTTAACATTGAGATGCATAGAGAGAGCTTAATCTGGTCACTTTATCAAGAGAGGCAATAATTTCTTTTCTTTTTGGCTGAAATGGGTTATTATACCATGATTCATTTTGAGAATGCAAAATTTAATCACTATAAAGTACATATTAGCTCTCTTTTTCCTTAAATCAATGATCAAAAGCACCAAGGTAACATGATGATCACCAAAAATCAACTCAACATACCTAAACAGGTATTCTAATACTTGATATAAAGGCAGCAACAATCTTCTGATACCGATTCATCTTTCGTCAAATGATGATAGCAAAGGATTCGTCGATTTGTTTCATGATGATATGTTATTGCATGCAATTTATTTAGCAAAATCCACTTGACTACAATTACAATTATGGATCATTGCACTTAAAGTTTGGTTCACTATGTGCTTCAAATTTTTTGCCAAGTAATAAAAATGTGGAGAAATCCCACAAATAACTAAAATATGCGATAAAAGTTTCGGAAAAAATACTAGATCAATCCACTAAACTCTAATCTCAATTGATCATACTCACCTGAAAGGCTACATGTTTCAACTCAGGAGAGCTTTTGATCAAGGCACATAACAGTCAAAATCTACCCCACACTATTGAAGTCTATGTATGTGAAGAGGTAATTCAAATGAACGAGTTCATCAAGCAGTGTCTGTGGAGCATTTTCAATACCCAAATACTGCACAAATCAGCCAAAATCAAGTGTCAATAGATACAGACCAAAAAAAAAAAGTGTCAATAGATACCAAGGATATAGTTATGATACCAAAATATTTTCATCTTAAAAATAATAGTGAACAAAGTCCTAACATATTTCAGAATTTATGCGCTTAAAATGTACCTTCAGTGAGTAATTTTCAAGTATGAGACTATGAAGTTTGGGCAAATTTCGGAAGAGTTTGCGCAAATTGTTCGAGTTGGCGTAGTGGGATCCACGTTTATTAGCAATATCATCAGAGAAACCAACCATGAGCGACATCAAATTGTTCATAACACCGAAAGCGACATCCTGAAAAGCTCCTTCAACATCAAGCCACTCGAGGTTGCCAGTATCGACGTTAATTTGCTTAATCCCCTCTAAGTTCCTCAACTTCAAACGTTTTAGTAGGGGGCAGTGAGAAATCAAAGCCTTAAGCCCGTCCAAAGACAGTTGAACATGCTGAAGATCCAAACTTTCCAAGTTATGGAATCCTTCGAACATCGATGGGATTTTCACCAAACATTTGTATAGTTCCAAATGAATCAAGTATTGGCAATTGAATAAGGAGGGAATCTTGTAATACTGCCATGTCCAGATGTCGAGTACGATTTCTTTGACACACACTCTGAATAGATGAAGAATCCAGTGGTCAATGTCACTCGTGGCGCAAAATTCTTCGTGCGAGAGCTTGAACTTCCGTATTGGGCTAGTATGAAGCAAGAGAACCTTGTCAATTATCTTCACCAAGTTTTCATGCAGAGATGGTTGAAGAGAAGGAATTCTTGTGGCCCTAGTGCATTGGTCATCGAACACAAGTTGTGGAACAGAGGACCATTTGTACCTCCACTTTCTCGACAAAATACTAGTCCTCACTGCGTCCTTAATCGGCAAGTGAGACGGGATTTGGTCCACTATGTGCCTCGGCAATTGGCTAATCTTATCCAACTCACTCGTCATTCTTATTCTCACCTATAATACTTTGGAATTTCTAAAAAACATTGACGCATTGGAAATGATTAGACGCGAATAAATTAAAAAAACTCTAATAAAATTCTAAGCATAAAACAATATTTATATAAGCTAATAATAAGAAAACGAACATACTAAATCTTAAATATAAAAATAAATGACTACTAAAAATTGAAAAAAAAAAAAAAAAAACCTATTATCCTAACGTAATTTTTAAGATAAATAAAATTGTAATCTTCGAAGATGTACACTCCACGTTAATTTTTCTTTCTTTTGGCCATCAATTGGAATTCCCTACAATGCATGGTAGCTTACTAAAGAAGCAACTGTCATGAGTGCATAGAATGTATTTTCAACTAGAAATCTCAATCTTTGGATCTAAGTGGGACTCATATGAAACCGCAAAATACAAGGGTCTAAATTCTGCTAGTTCACATGCATGGAGTTATGTAGGTTGGTCCTCTAAAAAATCCGCCAACACTACTTTCTGACCTTCTTGGCCAAGGTCCTAGACAGATGTCAGAGTCAATAGATATTACTTTTGCATAAATAAATACCATGGAAAGTTCGGCTCAAAAAAAAATAACATGCGAAGTTCGGGTACATTTCTCACCGGAGGAATTGTTCTTGCTTAGCGATGTAGTTGGTCGAGCTTTGAGAGAGAGATGAAGTGCAATTGTATGGAGCAAAAGGAAGTGCTGAATGCAAGAAGGGGACTGGTGAAGTGGAGAGACAGGGTGCAAGGGAAGCCGGTTTGCCTTTTTAAAGTGAAAAATTTGAATAGAGCCAAAGGCAACCCCTTGTGTAACAAGTTACTTAGTTTAGAACTGCTTTGTCAACAAGTTTTTGACAGTGTCCCACCCCTTTTCCAACTCTGTCGCCTTCGACTTGTCTCCTAGCATGTCCTTTGTCTATTACAAGAATGAATTGGCTGTCTTTTCTCATAATTATTCATTGAAATTCCACGGTGTGCGGTGCGTGCCCTCCAACTTCAATTCTTCATCAACGTTGCTCCGAAAGTGGCGCCCTTCATTTCCCTTAAAGTGAGTTGTAGGACCTCTAATCATGGTCAAAAAATGATTCTTCAGGACTTAAAATTGCGGAAACGAAGTCGGAGGACCCAACCCGTGTGGACTGCCGCGATGTAGACCAAACTCTTGGTTTCATTATCTTTGGAACTTATCCTATCAATATTGAACTCGTTGAGAAGCTCTTGCCGCGAGCTTTTTGACAACGTGAAGATGCATCGCAATTTAGTCGTCACTGCCTTGTGTTGAAGATGCATCATCTGTGTCTGTCATCTTCTGCAGATTTGCTTAAGCTTTAAGTGCAATGATCTTTTCCTTTTTAGACTTCTTTTCATGTGAGTGCTCAATCTCAGCATCGTATGCCATGGAGGATCCAATTAGCTAATCTAGTGAGAGAGTCGATAGATCTTTGGGCTTTATAGTACGGTCTTCTTGGGTATCCTCTACTTCGGTCAACACCTTAGAATTGTCTTCACTAGCTTGTAAAGGTTTTCCAAGTGCAATTACCCATCACACTATCCGCGAATCTAGTTTGAACATTTTGTACGTTGTTCTCGTCTAACTTTGTCTTGCAGAGCCCGTAATCCGCGATATTGGCTCTACACCCCTTTACACAAGTAGTACCTTCATGTGTCACAATGAAGTTTATTCCAAATTTCTCCTGCTGAGGCACATGAGCAAACCTGATTAAATTCGATTGGAGATAAGGAACAGCATAAAACATGCATAGCCTTGAAATTTAAAGAAGTCTTTCTACAATCATCCACAACAAACTCTTTTCTTCTTTCGGAGACGATGATGTTCCTTCTGTTGCAGTCATAGGAAGAAATCACCCATTTTGCACAATCCCCCCAAGCTCATAATTCACGGATTTTTATAAGAACAGTCATATTGGCACTCGTAATATCAAAAGTTAGAACCATCAACTAGAGGTGGGCGCGTGATTGAATTTCCTTCATTCATGCTTGTCCCGTCAATGGTTGCCATTTGATCTTTGACTCTGAAGTGAAAACACTTCCTGAAATCTTGAGCACGAGACTTTGATCCCAAATATAAGGTCCCAAATATAATAATCTACAACAGTTTCGGAGCTCTCATGTTCTCCATTGATCCCACGAACGGATTTACAAATTCCCTCGTCAAACACTTTGACAAAATTACATTTCCGTGTTTGTAGAACAAACAGCTTATGTGAACGCTTGCAATGATAATCCCTGTTCTCTCTCACACTCATCCATGTTCTGTTTAGAGAAGATTTACGAGCAAGCTCTCAAATCTCAAGAGTAAGAGTCGCAAATTTCAGACTCCTCAAAAGGAATATACATGTTCGTAAGTTCACGTATGTGCAGCAATTCGATCGACTCCCCTCTCTCCCTCCCTCCTCCCTTCATCCCAAATTTCCAATTACTTTTATTTGCCGATGTAACACATACCTGGCGTCCAACTCAGCATTTGAGCCGGCACATAAGAAAGCTGAGCTAATCATAACTCGACCCGTTTCTTCACTCATCATTCCGTCCGACCACATTAATAAAGGGCCTATCAGTGGACCATTTAAACAAGGGAAACAGTAGCAAAAAAAAGTCTTAAACATGTTACACTTATGTCAAATCTGTCTTAAACTTAAATCTTTCAACGATTTGTCAATATAATCTATTTGGCCAATTTTGATCAAAAATCGCTGACATGGATGCCGACCATCCTACATGACACAACCGATGCTGACGTAAACAAATCTTACAAATTTCTAACATTATTTTGAATTTTTTGTATTATTTTTCCTTTTCTTTTTCTTTTTTTCTATTTTCTTTCATTGTGGCCGGCGAGAGTCACCAGGGTTAGAGTCTGTGAGCCCTCACCATCCTCTAGCAAGGACCACACCACTCATTAACGACCAGCCACAATAAAAAAAAGAAAATAAATAGAAAAAAGAAAAGAAATAATAAAAAAAATTTTATAAACTTGTCCAAGCCAGATGGTTAGCCAGATGGACTCCATCGACAAATAATCAAAAGGTATAAGACTCAACTGGTACAATTGTAATGTTTATGACTAAATTGGCACAAGTACGTACAATAAGTTGAAAATTTTGTTTTGTACTTTTCCCTTTAAAGAAGTGTACAAGCCATTTTGGAAAAAGAGAGTAGTTGAATTGATTTTCAATTTCCGAAAGGATTACAAAGTCATAAGTGGCATTATCTTCCCCTAAAAAGTTAAAGAGTGCAGTTAGCCGAATGGCACTATTACAAATTCAGTGTAATGGCAATCTAAGTAGTACCGACACGCGACACTCGACACGACATGACACGCCAACACGTCATTTCTCAAAAAATAGAGAATTCCGACACGTGCATTTTTATATATATACATGATAAATTATCATTTTTATGATTATTTCAATCAAATTAATTTAATTCAAATTTACAAATAAATAAATAATAAAAAAAAGAGTTTCGGACGAGTGTCGGTGTCCGGCACATGTCCGACACCGACATGGAAGGCCCGGAGAGTGTCCGTGCTTCTTAAATGGGAACCGGAATATATAAAACTTCCAAGCTAATTGCCAAAAATGGCCCTTTTGCAGTTAGACGCAAAAGCTGAATCCGTTAAAGAATAATAAAAGCCAGAATCTTGACGTTTGGCACAATATTAAATACATGCAGGGAACAAAAGTTAAAACAAAACCCAGCCTTTCGTATTTATTTTAGGTCTCGTGATTTCTACTAAAATGATTTGTAAAATGTCGTGCACAATTTTACAAAAGGGAAAGGAAAGTTTTAATTGATTTTAAGGACTAAATAATAAACAAATAAACAAAAGTAAAAGAAGAAATAAAAAATAATTTAAAAATTAGGATGCTGCAAGTCTTAGTTAGATAGTTGTAGCTTAGAAAAAGCTTTAATTGAATTTCATTCGGTTTGAATTCATCTAGTTTTTTTTCCTTTTCATTTTTTTGATCAGAGAATTCATCTAGTTTAGGGAGTCATTTTCTTAAAATTTAAAATAAATTGAATTTTTAGATGGTGTTTTCTTTTTTAGATTAAATAGATAAAATGATAAAAAAAATAATAACAGAAAAAAGGATAAAAAGTAAAAAGTAAAAAATATCCACTCTGCAAGCTCGACACTAGGCGTCCAACTCAGCATTTCAGCCGGCACATAAGAAAGCTGAGCTAATAATAACTTGACCCTTTTCTTCACTCAGCATTCCGTCCGACCGCATAAATAAAAGGACAATCAGTGGACCATTTAAAGAAGTGGACAGACCATAGTTTCATTAAAAAAAAGTAAAATAAAGGGATTGATTTTTCAATATTTGAAAGGATTACAGTGACTATTACTCTCATGTGTGATTTAATCTTGCGGGTCGGCTTCCGGATCAACAGGATCAGAGAAAGATCACCTCCGCTTGCGCTGAGGCTCGTCGGAACCGCAGCAACTCCCTGAGCAACTTGCCTTCTCCACTCGTGGAATTAGGCTGGATCGTCATCTTTTGTAGGTTTGGCGAGCTAGTAAGCAGAAACTTCATCAATTCCAGCTCTGGCTCATTGCCAAGAATCCCACCCATTGATACAACTTGTATTTGCTCTAGGCAACACGCAAGGTGGTCTTCCCAAAAGTCAGCCATCGTCCCAATCCTTGTAGTCTGTTGATCCTTGGCACGATTCTGTGTTTTTTACAATCAAAGAGTAACCTTAACATACAGATGCGTGGGTTGGCTGAAACGAATTCTTATACCGTCATTCATTCCGAGAATGCATAATTTAATCACTATAAAGTACATATTAGTCCCCTTTTCCTCAAATCAATGATCAAAAGCACCAGGGTAACATCATGATCACCGAAAATCAAATCTAATCAAACCATACCTTATGTATAATCTAAAACTTGATACAAAGGAGGCAACACCCTTCTGATACCCATGCATATTTCTTCAAATGATGAACAATTTCGCTAAATAGAAAAAGATTTGTCGATTTGTTTCATTATGATATGTTATAGCAAATCACTTACTAAGTAAAATCCACTTAGACTAAAGTGACGGATGTACTTTAAGTTTGGTTCACCGTGTGCTTCAAATTTTTTGCCATGTCATAAAAGAATGTGGAAAAATCAGACAAATAACTTAATACGATCTCTGATAATAGTTTTGAAGAAATACAAGATTTGTCGACTAGGCACCAGTCTCAATGATAATACTCACCTGAAAGTCTACATGTTTCAACTGAGGAGAGCTTCTAATCAGGCACATAACAGTCAAAATCTCCTCCACTCTACTGAAGTCTATGCATGTGAAGAGGTACTTCAAATGACAGAGTTCATTAGGCGGCGTCTGTGGAACATTTCCAATAGCCAAATACTGCAAAAATCAGCCAAAAATCAAGTGTAAATATATACCGACAATTAAGTAATAGAACCAATATATTTTCATCCCAAAACTAACAGTGAACAAAGTCCCAACAAATTTCAGAAATTATGCGCTTAAAATGTACCTTCAGTGAGTAATTTTCAAGCTCGACACTCTGAATTTGGGGCAGATTTCGGAAGAATTTGTGCAAATTGCTCGAGTTGGCATTGCCGAGTCCACATTCGTTGGCAATATCATCAGAGAAATCTACCCTAATCGACTTCAAACGGTTCATAAAACCGAAAGTGACATCCTGAAAAGCTCCTTCAACATCAAGCCACTCGAGGTTCCCAGTATCGACGTTAATTTGCTTAATCCCCTCTAAGTTCCTCAACTTCAAACGTTTTAGTAGGGGGCAGTGAGAAATCAGAGCCTTAAGCCCGTCCAGAGACAGTTGAACGTGCTGAAGATCCAAACTTTCCAAGTTATGGAATCCTTCGAACATCGATGGGATTTTCACCAAACATTTGTACAGTTCCAAATGAATCAAGTATTGGCAATTGAATAAGGAGGAGGGAATCTTGTAATTCTGCCCCTTCCAGATATCGAGTACAATTTCTTTGATGGACACTCTGGATAGATGAAGAATCCAGTCGTCAATGTCACTCGTGGCGCAAAAATCTTTGTGAGAGAGCTTGAACTTCTGTATTGGACCAGTATGAAGCAAGAGGACCCTATAAATTATGTTCACCAAGTTTTCTTGCAGAGATGGTTGAAAAGAAGGAACTCCCCTGGCCTTGGTACATTGGTCATCAAACACGAGTTGTGGAATAGAGCACCATTTGTACCTCCACTTTCTCGACAAAATACTAGTCCTCACTGCGTCCTTAATCGGCAAGCACGATAGGATTTGGTCCGTTATGTTCCCTGGTAACTGGCAGATCTCGTCCACCTCATTCGTCATTCTTTTCCTCACCTGCGATACTTTGAAATTTCTGACAAACAATGACGCACGGGAAACGGTTAGATGCGAGTAAATTAAAAATAGTCTAATGAAATTCTAAGCATAAAATAGGTAAAATAATAAGAAAAACGAACATACTAAATCTTAGGTATATAAATGGATAACTACTCAAAAATTAAAAAAAAAAATCACGCAATATCCTAACATAATTTCCCAGATAAAAGGATAAGGAAATAAATAAAAATTGTCATTTTTTAAAATGTACGTCAATTTTTCGTTCTTTGGGCCATTGATTGGAATTTCCTCAAATGCATGGTAACTTACTGAAGAAGTAAGTGTTATGATTGCAAAGGATGCATGTTCACCCACCGAAATCTTGATCCATGGGTTAAGTGTGACTCAAGTGGAACCGTGAAATTCAAGGCTAAATTTTGCTGAGTTCGTCCTCTAAAAAAACCATTTACTACTACTATCTAACCTTCTCGCCCAAGGCCCAAGATAGAAGTTAGAATCCATTGATCTTCTGCATAAATACCATGCAAAGCTCGACTATGTTACTCACCGGAGGATTTGTTGCCAAATGGTCTTACTTCTTTGGTAATCCTCGTGATGGTAGAGTGCTCGGTTGTAATAACACGAATGAGATCAAACATTTTGAACACTTCAACCAAAGAACGATCATCTTAACCACAAAGAAATTCAGAAAAAAGAATGATGTTAATATATCCAATAATCAGTTAAGGCTGTAGACGATAGACATCGCAAATGGGACCAGATTTAATGTTATACTTTGCTTTTGTTGCTATAGCTTCCTTCTTAGGAAACAAGAGCCCATTCCATGTCCACTAACAGGTGCTACTTCTAAGAAAGAAAACGTCAGTGAAAGTTGCACTGAGACCATGGATACGAGTACATGGGCATGGACTCTCCAGCATTTTCAATGTGCTTACACAATAAGCAGTTGTAGTTCATGTTATGCTTATACTATAGCAGTTAACAGTATGGTTCAATCAGTCTTATTGGTCTCTGGCCCTTTGAATTTATATTGAATAGCATTCTTTCAATTGCTTTTTCCGTCAAATTCCCATAACATTGTAACATATTCAGCACAAGGTGCTCTACCTAGTCACATCACTCCGTAAATCTTTCGCTGAATTCACGGACAAAAAAGGAAAATTTCCTGATAATGGGCTTACACGAAAATTCAAAGTTCAAATTTTGACTCTATTCCCTCCTAGTCCACAGCACCGAAGCAGAGAAAAGCACAGAAGAACAGACTAGAATGCATACTTTTCATGATAACGTGCTCCACGTCCAAGAAAGCAATGACACCCTTCTGACCCAAATCTCTAGCAAGCTCTCTGCAAGTGCAAAACCAAGATCAATACTCCTCGACAACAACAACAATCAAAACACAGCTTCGAAAACACAGTAGGGGAACACTAAAAAACGCCAGGGCAGTCCGGAGCTCGAACTCGGTATTCTGTCAGGCACTACATCAAACACATGGAGGGCATACAAAAAAAGAAAAACTCAGAAAGCCAGACTCACAAGATCGTGGAGTCTCTGATGGACCCATTGAGGTGGGCATGCAACTCCACCTTCGGCTTGCTTAGCGATTTATCGAACTTCTGCGACAAACTGCATTTAGATAGCCTCAGAGAAGAGAGAGAGAGAGAGAGCTTGTTGATCAGCAACACCCAGTTGAAGGCGTCAGGAAACGGGGCAGCGTGAAGTGCACTTTCAAGAGGTGAATAGTGAACTTTGAGACATGAGGAGAGTTAAAAAGCAGTTTGTTTTTTGTAGCAGTCACGTCACGTGACAATGACATTGAAAAAAGGAAGCCTTAGTTGGAATGCATATTATACGAAAAATCGATTACTTTATGTCAATCTTGTGATCCATAATGGACACACTCTCCCAAGCCACTTCACTGTGATTGTACTCGATCCACATCGATCAAGGTGAAGCACGAATTTCCCGGGCCCTCCTTTCTTTTTCAGTCAAAAAGATGAACGCAAAGTCTCCTAAAGATAAAAGAGTTACTTCATAATTCATGGCTCATTTTTCTTTATGCTTTCCCTTTTTAAAGTGGGAAGTGTGAATGCCTCAGGCTGTACATTAACATTATCAGTTATATTAGATGCTGCAAAGGCCAGAGGCCAATCAGAGCCATAAAGAGACCAATCGTTTTGCTCCTATATTCTGATAAAGTTGAAAAAAAGAGTGGAATATCTGTAGAATTTGGAGTATCTATATTAGAATTGAAATCACATATCTGGTTTTAGGCGGTCTTCATCTTTGAATCAATCAATACGGATGAAGTCGTACAAACCAAGAGCTAGGTCATCCTCTCCTTCTCCTCTCCTAGAGGACCCAAAGGATAAATGGTACTTGTATGGAATGAGGGGGTAGAGAGGGGATCGTAACCTGTTTATAGTGACATTCTAATTGCTAATAGTCTCATCCACATAGGTCACTTTTAAAAATTAGCCTACACTGACGTTCGAATCACATTGTAATATCGAAACCCATATGTGCTAAGTCCACAATAGCTTGATCACATAACTGTGCATGGACTATTACCATTGTCTCATATGTCTTATTTACTTTATAGCAGTATCTTATTCATAAATTAAAATATTATATGATTAATGTTAGCCCACATCTATAAGAATTTCCAACATTTCTCCCTCTTGAGCAATATTAACCGCAAACTAATTTGAAAAATCGCCCTTATGCGGTAAAACCACAAAAGCTGAATCCGCTGAAGATAATACAAACCTGAATCTTATAAATAGCACAATATTAAACACTTGTAGCAAACAAAAATTAACATAAAACCCAGCCTATACTAAAACGATTAAGTAAAAAGTCATGCACAATTTTATAACAGGGAAATGAAAATTTAACTGATTTTAAGAACTAAATAAAAAAATAAACAAAAAAATAAAATTAATTAAAACATAGGAAAGTGCAAGTCTCAGTTAGACAGTTGCAACTTAGAAATAGCTTTAATTGAATTTCAATCGGTTTGGATTCATCTAGTTTTTTTTTCTTTTTTTGTTAGAGGATGCATCAAGTTTAGGGAGTCATTTTTCTTAAACTTTTGAATAAATTTGAAATTTAGATGGTGTTTTCTTTTAGCTAAAATGGATAAAATGATAAAAAAAAATGATAAAGGGTAAAAAGTAAAAAAAATCCCATTTGCGTTTATATTAGGATTACATTTAGGGAATACCTCAATACATGTTTTCGCTTTTAATATTGTTTAGTAAATGTTTGGCTTGGTAGATGATTCCCTTTAGCTGAAATTAGATTTTAACTGTGATCTTGACAATTGGCTTACGAGTGGACTTAATAACAAGGTAATGTAATATTCTTTACGCAACTCATATTGGATTTATTTTCTCGCGTCTTATTTTCGTCGTCTTTACTTTTGTTCTTAATACGTGTGGCTTTCATTACTTTTGATTTGATATGATTCTTGCCTCATATGATTACTAGAAAAATATTTTCAAAAATAACCACGCGTGGACAGTTAGTAGGTCTTAGCTAGAGACTTAAAATGAATAAAACCGCATGATTCACATTTTCGATAAAAAAAAATGAGTTATATACCAAAATGGCGCTAATTAGACTATTAGCGTAACCAAATTCTCTGTTGAAAATATGTCTCGAGTTTGAGCCCGAAGCGAAAATATAAATTTCGAGAAAGAAAAAAAGAAGGAAATCTGCTGCAGGGAGGAAATACACGGACATCAATTTTAGGGAAAATTCCAAAAAGGACCCAAAGTGGACCTATTTTCTCAAATAAGGACCCGAAGTAGACTTTGTTTCAAATAAGGACCTGAAGTGGACCCATTGTCTCAAATAAGGACCCGAAGTGGCTAAATCAATCTCAAATAAGGACCTGAGCTCTCCGGTCAGCCAAATATTCGCCGGCCGGCGAGCGGGTGACATTTTTACTACCGGAGTTTGGGCAATTTTGTCCAAAAAAAATATGGGAAAAGATTAACAAATCCTAAAACAAACAAAAAAAACCCTGGTTCTTCTACGTTCTTCCCTGTTCCTCGGTACCCATTCACTACGATGTTTGAGATCCAAATTTTCTGTTCGTGGAGACGCCAATTGAAAAACACCAAGAAACCCCAAGCGCTTCATCCTTTGTTCGTGGAGACCCAAATTCTCTACTCGTTTTTTCTCTGTTCGTGAACGGTCGAGGCCCACCTTACGTTCAATCGAGGTCAGTTTTCCCATCTTCTTAGAATTTACTCACGTTAAACCAACAAAATGTAGACAAAGCTCGTGTACAAAGCCCGATTCTCCATCATCTTTTCCCAGTTTTGCCATTTATTTCGTTATGCACTCACGTTTAACCGAGGTCAATTTCGTTCAAATTGGTGCAGCCGATCCTTCGTTCGTCCAATAGAAAGCGATTGTGGCTCGTTGACGCAACATGGCAACAAGGTGTAGGCATGTGGTGGAATATCATACGGATGGCAGCGATGACAGCGATGGTAGGAGAGAGTTTGTTTTATGTGTTGTTTTTGTTTGTTTTGACGGATTTATGAGTGAATGTCTCCTTTTGTTCGAATGAATGCATATGAGCTGCGTTTACTGTGTATTTTTAATTGGATATGCTGCCGTCATGGTCCTATGTGCTGGTGGTGGTGGTCCCTTTTTTGCAATTTTTTAATGCTTTTTTGTTTGTTTTTTTCTAGTGTATATTTTGTCATTTACGGCCAGAGCACGTAGCATTCCTGAAATCTAAATGTTGGTTTTTGATGGTTTTTGAGCTATAGTACATTGATCATACCAATGATAAAATCACTCTGCATAGCAATAAAAGATGTTGTTTTTTGATGATGCTCTTACATTGGAGGCCTAATAAACATAACCATTGAGGTAATTGACCGTACTTGGGATACAATCCATCACCATAGCAGTAGCACTTTTGTGCCCACATGAGTCCGAATGTATATTACCACTTAACTAGCATTGAAAACATTTCAAGTCCATGATGCACAATTTTTTTTTTGTGACAAACGGTATCCAATAAAAGTATGGTACGTAGTCACTAGTGTGACTAGTTTTCTTTCATTAGTAATAGTGTGGGAGAAGAAGAAGAAAAGCATCATTGACGCTAGGGACAGGCCTATCATCACAATGCTTGAAACTATAAGAGTGCAGCTCATGGAAAGGATTCATAAGCAAAGGGATGGGATGACCAAGTACACTGGTGTGATCTGTCCTAATATCTAGAAGATATTAGATCTTCAAAAACAGTTTTCAGCATCATGGATTCCCACTTGGAATGGAGAGGATGACTTTGAATTGAGTGGGCCATATGGAGACAAGCGAGTTGTTAATATTAGACATAGATCTTGTAGCTGTAGAAGATGGGACATCAGCGGAATTCCTTGCTGTCATGCTGTGGCGGCTCTTATATACACGAGGGAAGAGCCTGAAAAATGGATTCACACAAGTTTCAGTAAGGAAACATTCATGCAGCTTTATAGTCATGTTGTGCATGTTGTAGATTCTAAGGACACGTGGCCTGTTAGAGAGCCATTACTCCCACCAGATGTGCCCAAGCAAGTTGGCAGAAAGAAGAAACAAAGAACAAAATCAGTGAATGAAACAACTGATAAAAAATTGAAGACAAGAAAGAAAAAAGTTGTGCAAGAGCCCGTGAGAACAAAGTTGAAGAGACAAAATACCACAATCACTTGTGGAAAATGTGGTGGGTTAGGCCATAACAGGTATCATTGTAAGAACCCACTAGTAACATCAGCAATAGCAGCATCAGCCCCATCAGCTTTTATAGTTGCCTCATGCTCACAGGATGTGGTAGAAAACACTCCCTCAGGTCCAACATCCTAACCTAAGATGATTGAATTTCTTGTGTCAATTTTCAGCAACATTTCAAGCTCAATATCATCTATGGGAAGTGAGAAGATGTAAGTATTCATTTGTGCTTGACTTTGTCATAAAACTATTTTTTACTTGTAATTGACTTTGATTTGACTAATGATTTATTTTGTGATTTAACCGTAGGTAAAGAGGAGGATATGAGGACCTCAATATGAAAGTGGTCGAAGACGAGCAACTTTTTTGAGATATGCAAAGCAACAAGACGAACAACTCAAACTCCTTTTGTTTCACTATTAGTTGATATGAATGAATTTGTTTTGGAAGCATCTTAAAGTTAAATTATGTATAGGTAAACTGTGTTGGGATGTTACTCTTTGCCATCATATAATGTGAATCAATTCAGGTTTATCTAATGCTATTTAGTTTGATATGGAATGTCCCAGCACTTCATTGTAGTACAGGCGTACTAACAACAAGTTTAAATGAGCTCATCAGTCCAACAAGAAAATATAGAACAGCAACATCAAAAAAATGACTTGCAAAAAGCAATGAGGACAACAGTCCAGCAACACACCAAGTTAAAATGCCCTGTATTATAGGCCAAAGAAAAAATATAGAACATCAATGGGCTCTGTCAAAGCTTGAGCTCTGTACACGACAAAATACAGAATAGCCGATATAAATGAAACCAAAGATAGCTTGCAGTACCAAAAAGCATCATCATTGAACACTTGAATTGAACTACATTATTTCCATTACAAAAAGAGACACCAACATACGAGTTCACAACTTTAATATGTGCGCACAACGCTACAAGAAAGAGAGGACAACAAATGAGTTTACAAAACAACCTCCCACTGATCATATGCAGTGTTCACAGCCCATCCTACTACAACCAATCTAAGGCACCCAATGAAAGTTGGAAGACTTGAACAGTGGGCTGATGAATTGATGCGATTCTAGTTCTTCTGATTTCATCTCTTTGGTCCAAGCTTTCTGCTCATGACTGATAGGATGTTGCACTGTTAAGTCCACTGGTCGGTTTGTCGAGGAAGAGAAGCCTCAGGCGGGTAACAATTTCCAGGAAAATGCTAACTCTTCTCTTTTGACCATCACTTAGTCCCTTGGTCCCCCAACCTCCAATTCTTGTGCCCATATGGTATCTTGCAGTCCCATTTCCCTTATTGCCATTTTTGCTCTTTCTTTCTTCTCGGATACTGGTATGGAGTCTGGGAATTGTGTCCACGGTATGGAGTCTCTCACAGTTAGCGTTGTTATCAATACATCGTCTTGCATCACATAAGCCTGAATTCATAAAAATAGAGAACCCTGATGAGTGATGAGAAGTAAAATATTGTGCAACATGCTAACGGAACCATGTGGTAGACAAGCTAAGTCTAGTCATTTACCAAAAAATACAGGGCAATTAACCCTCAAGAGTCAAGCACTTTAGAGTTAACAGGGACGAAATTTTGGAAAGAAAGCCGCATCAGGGAACTATCTCAGAATAGGACAATGCATTATCACAGAACATACTTGAAACAGATGGAAACCTATAAAAGGAATACCTGAATTGGTTGTGCACAAGAGTTATTCCTCCAGCAGTCTGCTTCAGACTTGGATGAACGTGAATCTCCACCCAACCCTCTGGAGATGGAGCAGGTCTCACCATATTAACAAGAAATCAGCCAATACTTGTTGAATTCTCAGCTGATCACCACAGACAGCTAGAGTTTTGATTTCAACTAGAATATCACGAATCAATTGCAAATCTCGTTCTCTCAGCAATATCATTACTTGGTAACAACAAGCATTCATAACACTTCCAAGAAAGAATTCACCCTTCTCAAGCTCCAAGAACTAGCAATCTTTGTATTGCTAACGGAAGTCAAATTTACCAGAAATACGAGGCAGAAAATCCCTCCCAACCACGCTCTCAAGCATTGAAGATTTTCAACAACAAAAACGCACACCGTTTGATTAAAGCAAGCATCCGCAACAGAAATCGACAGGCAAAATGTGACTAAAATGCAGTCACCGTTACCTGGCCGCCGACAATAGCGATCGACGGAAGCGCCTCCTAAAGAGACAACCCCTCGCCGCCGTGGTCGCCCAAGCGGTGCACTCGAACGGCGACGAACTTGAAGCTTGTGGACAACGAAACCTTGGAAAGAAGAGACGACGGCGAACAATAGACTAATGCTCGCGAGAAGCGATGAGAATCGATCGAGTATTGGCGAGGACCAGGCAGCGATTTGGTTGAGGAGCAGCGTGGGAGAAGAAGAAGAAAACGTAAACATTTAGAGGAATAACCTAAACTTAATCCATTCGGGAATTTTCCTATTTTTTTAGCTAATTACAAATTTGGGACAAAATTGCCCCTTGCCAGAAAATGTCTGCCGGCAAACATTTCACCGGCCGGGAATTGAGGTCCTTATTTGAGATTGATTTAGCCACTTCAGGTACTTATTTGAAACAAAGTCCACTCCGGGTCCTTATTTGAGACAATGGATCCACTTCAGGTCCTTCTTTGAAACAAAGTCCACTCTGGGTACTTATTTGAGAAAATAGGTCCACTTTGGGTCCTTTTTTGGAATTTTCCCTCAATTTTATCAAGTCTTGGGCGTGAAACAGGAAAGTCCGACTTGGACTCTGGCTTCTTATTTCCATTAATAAGTCCAAAAGTATTTGTTGGACTTTGACCGTGGAAAGTGGGCTTCTGTGAATTTGCTGATTGGTCAGAAAAAGGAAGAAATAAAAATATGAGGATTATCTTTCCTTGATGAAGTCGGTAAAGAAGAAGGGGTCCCCTTTATACGCATATAAATATTCGGACAGAGGAGTCCCGATACGCCGTTGTTGATAAAAGGCAGCGTGGTCTTCGTGCAGTCTATGAAATCTTGAAGCAACGCCTCTGTACGTGAGGTCTTTGAAGTGCCGTTTTTCTTGCGAGCGCTTGGCATTGATTTCGTTCGTGCAATTACATCAATAATTTAGTGTTCAAGCTAAGTCAATCTGGTGGTAAAATTTATGTATAATTTCTTCGCGAGATTGACAGATTATTTCGTGAGAAATTATGGAGCTAAACACTGCATGCGTTATTGGGCGTAATTAGCGCTTGAGAAACACTTAAAAAGTTTGAGTGACTCCAGAGTAATTGTAATCTCCGTTATATCGCTTGATCTATAGTAAAATTCGTTACTGCTCTCCCCGTGGACATAAGTCATTATGACCGAACCACGTAAATCTAGTGTCCGATATATTTTCTTGTTCTGTCAAATTTATTATTCAATCGCTTGGCTTCCGCAACATTTTCAACCCTAGATCTTTGGCTCTTAGGAAATAGAACATTCTCTTAATGTTCCCACCTATCCACCTGGCTCCTACTTAGCCCAAAAAAGACAAGTGGTGACTCCAAGTTAGATAAAGTTATCATCGTGTATTCAAATCAAACTAACGTCACGCACAATAAGGTTTAGGAGAACCTGTGCCAAGCGAGAGCGAGCACCTCGACTAGAAGGATCGCCCGTTTTTACTCGATAAACCGCTAAACCTGCTTCCCCCTAAGTAACCCATTAGGGAGGATTGTGATAATATTTAATGTCTAAGACCACAAACCTTTAATTTTCTGGAATAATGCAATGCACGAAGTTAATGAATATTAATGCAGATGTGAGACATGAAAGTACGCATTTGTAAGAGTCTACATAAGCTTGACATGATGAGCCGTGAGAAAATAAAGAACGATGGCGTGGAATTTTAAGAAAAAGTTTGTCTTCAGAGCAGCTTAGAGACCGGCGAACACAGAGAGACGCCACATTAATAAAATGCCTATCATGGACCATTTAAAGAAGTGTACAGGCCATTTTTTTTAAAGTAAGATAAAGGGATTGATTTTCAATTTTTAAATAGGATTACAAAGCCATAAGGGGCATTATCACCCCCCAAAAAATTGAAGAGTGCGGCAAGCCTAACGGCACCATTACACTGAACTTAGAACTGCTCTTGTGACCACAATTCTCATATTATGCTAGCTGGACTCATTTTGGCAACCATATAAAATTTTTTAAAGCTAATTGCCAAAAATGGCCCTTATGCCGTAAAACCACTAAAGCTAAACCCGTTATTCATATTTATTTTGGGTCTCGTGCTATACACTAAAATTAATTAGTAAAATATGGTGCACAATTTCCAAGAAGGAAATGCAAATTTTAATTGATTTTGGGAAGTATAAAGTCACATCAATGTATTGCTAGCTATGTGACGGACTTAGTTTGTACAGTGACAGTACACTTCACATTGGTAAATGAAGAATCACAGCCTAAAAAATGAGACAAAATATTTTGTACATTCCAATTTATATAGGGTGAAATATGAGAAAATGCATAGAAACTTAGTAAAAGATAAAATTTGTTCAAGTAAAATTGTATAATGGAAGGAGTCGGATTCGGCTTTGATTCCAATCACGTCTATAATTACATGTTGCTCATTTTTTAATTGTTGCTTTTGTAGACTAGCTAGTTTCACTAAAACTCCCAGCTAGTACCACATGTTTTAAAACTGTGAAACTGAGGTGATCATGACTAGAGCAAATAATATTGTGCCAGTGACAGTCTCGAGTGAGGAAATTTAAACATAAACTGTGGTATAGGAGTCATGTAAATGATTATGTTGGCTTTTTATATATTATAATGCTTTAGCAACATTATAAAATGACACAAACCTTGGGAATTCCAATCTAACAAATATTAAGCAAAATAATACTTTTTAAACTCACAGAAGGTCTATGATTTAGTAATCCTTTTTTGTTTTTGCATAACTATGTGTAATCTTGGGTAAATAACCTGGTGTTTTAAAGTTCACTTCCATAGAAATTGGATGAACAAGTCATTCTGTTCCTAGGGAATGACTTTGCGGCCAATAGTAGGCCATCACTTTCCATAAGGACACAGCATCGTCTTCTTCGCATTTCTCAAAAATAAATGCTGAGAAGTCTTCAAATTGCCCAAAGAAAAACTACCCTTCATGGCTCATCTTTCTTTCCAATTGCCTTTTGTAAATTTGAGAATGTGAAAGATGTAGCAGTACATTAATATATTCTGACTGAACCCAGGTGTGAAGAATCATACAATCAAAGCCAAAGGCTAATCAAGGCCATAAGAAAAGCAACCAGTTGCTTCCAAATTTGACTATATATGGAATGAGAATCTCCAAGGCTAACGCAAGATGAACGAAGAGGATTTTCATTTTTCTTAGTAATACAAAAAACTGTCTAATAGTATATTCAAGTTCAACACAACATAGCAAAACAACTGCAGCAACTATTACTCCCATGTGTGATTCATTCTTAACGTAGGCTGGCTTCCAGGTCAACAGGATCAGAGAAAGATCACCTCTGCTTGCGCTAAGGCTCGCCGAGACCGCAACAACTCCTTGAGCAACTTGCCTTCTCCACTAGTGGAATTAGGCCGGATTGTCAGCTTTTGTAGGTTCGGCGTGCTAGTAAGCAGAAACTTCATTAATTCCAGCTCTGGCTCACTGCCAAAAATCCCAACCATCAATACAACTTGTACTTGTTCTAGTCAAGACGCATGGTGGTCTTCGGCCATTGTCCCAATTCTTGTAGTCTGTTGATCCTTGGCACGATTCTGTGTTTTTTACGAACAAAGAACGACTTTAACACAGGGATGCGTAGAGAGAGAGAGCTTAATTTGTTAATTTTATCAAGAGAGACGGAGAGCTTGACTGTCTATTTCCTTTATTATGATCCCCGCCACAATATCTTCTTCTTTTTATTTGCTAAAATAGATTATTATACCGTTATTCATTTTGAGAATGCATAATTTAATCTCTATGAAGTACAGATTAGCTGTCTTTTTCCTCAAACCAATGATCAAAAGTACAAGGTAACATCATGATTACCGAAAATCAAATCAAATCAAATTTCCCTAACATATATTCTTAAACTTGTTACAAAGGAAGTAACACTCTTTTGATACCCATTTATCTTTTTTTAAAAGATGAGCAATTTTGCTTAATAGGAAAGGATTCGTCAATTTATTTCTTATATGATATGTTATACCTATTGGTAACAAACTAAGAGGTGCCTTGTCCCACATCGAAAAGATGTGAGTGCACATGTGGAGGAGATTTAGCACTAATCAACGATCATTATTTTTTATTTATTAAATTTCGAATTTATTATTATAAAATAATCATTTTATTTTATTGAAATAGTGTGACTGTTCACAATAGAATTATGGTTATTTTTTTATTAATTAATTTCGAAATTTATCATTTTTGCCTAACAGTTATTAGGCACTCTTACAATCTTTGGAAGAATTGTGTCTTTTTGGACATAACTCCTTCATTCTTGAAAGGTTGTATTTGTTCAAAGATTAATTTTTTAGAATTTATAAAATTCGGAATAATAAAAAACAAGAATAATTATTATTATTTTACTTTATTTTATTATTTTTTTAATCCGAATTTTTTATTTTTAATATGTCTTTTGAGAAGGCATCTGTTCATAATGCAACTTCTCCTGAAAGGTTGCCTTCGGTTCAAAAAGACTAATACATATATATATATATATTCATATTTTTCAGACCCACTTAACTTACTTTTGATACTTCCTTCTTAAAACTATACATCCATCTTTTTCAATTGTTTCCCTAGAAAAACCCTAAAGAAATACCAAAATTATTATCTGGTATTCTCATTTGAGACTTTGTTATTTCCTAGAGGATTTTTGCTGATAACCATTAGTACGTTGTGGGGTAAATACTTCCTTAAAGAGAGTATTATCACGCCTCAAAGTCTGAGTTCATTGTTCTTCCCAATTAATGTTGAAATTTCCCCAACAATAGCATACAACTTATTTAGCAAAATCCACGTGCACTACAGTGATAGATCAATGTACTTTAAGTTTGGTTTACCATGTGCTTCAAATTTTTTGCCAACTTATAAAATATTTGGAGATCTGACTAAAAAATAAAAATAATAAAAATAGATAAATAATGTGGAGGAATCACAATAACTAAATTAGATCTGTGGTAATAGTTTCAAAGAAGTACTAGGTTAGTCCGCTAGACAATAATCTTAATGATCATACTCACCTAAAAGTCTACTTGTTTCAACTGAGGTGAGCTTCTAATCAGGTAGATAACAGTAAAATCTCCTCCACATTATTGAAGTCTATGCATGTGAAGAGGTAATTCAAATGAAAGGGTTCATTAGGTGGTGTCTGTGGAACATTTTCAGTAGCCAAATACTACACAAATCAACCAAAATCAAGGATCAGTAATACGAATGATTAAAAATACAACCAACACATTCTCATCCCATAATTAATAGTGAACAGTGTCCTTACAAATTTTAGAATTTATGCACTTAAAATATACCTTGAGTGAGTAGTTTTCAAGCTTGAAACTCTGAATTTTGGGCAAATGTAGAAAGAGTTCGTGTAGATTGCTCGAGTTGGCATGGCCAAGTCCACGTTTGTTAGCAATAACATCAGAGAAACCTATCGTGACTGACTTCAAATGTCTCATGAAATCGAAAGCAACGTCCTGAAAAGCTCCTCTAACATCAAGCAACTCGAGGTTGCGAGCTTTGATGTTAACTCGCGTAATGCCTAAGTTCCTCAACTTCAAACGTTTTAGTAGGGGGCAACGAGAAATCAGAGCCTCAAGTCTGTCCCGAGACACCTCAACATACTGAAAATCCAAATTTTCCAACTTCTTTAATCCTTCAAACATCGACGGGATTTTCACCAAACATCTGTACAGTTCCATATGAATCAACTCCTGGCAATTGAATAAGGAGGTGGGAATCTTGTAATACTAATCTTTTCAAATGTCGAGTACGATTTCTTTTATGGACACTCTAGATAGATGAAGAATCCAATGGTCAATGTCACTCGGGGCGCAAAATTCTTTGTGAGAGAGTTTGAACTTCTGTATTGGGGCAGTATGAAGCAAGAGAACCCTGTCAATTATCTTCACCAAGTTTTCATGCATAGATGGGAGAAGAGAAGGAACTCCTCTTGCACTGGTACATTGATCATCAAACACAAGTTGTGGAACAGAGTACCATTTGTACCTCCACTTTCTCAACAAAATACTAGTCCTCACTGCCTCCGTAATCGGCAAGCGCGACAGAATTTGGTCCGTTATGTCCCTTGGTAACCGGCTAATCTTGTCCAACTTAGTCGTCATTCTTTTCTCACCTGCAATAATCTGGAATTTCCGACAAACAGTGATGCATTCGAAACGATTAGACAAGTAAATTAAGAGAAAAAGAGATACTAATGGAATTCTAAGTTTGAAATACCAAATATATAAAATTAATAAGAAAAACCAACATACTAAATCTTAAATATGTAAATGGGTAACAACTCAAAATTGAAAAATGGGTAGCTACTCGAAATCATCTAATATCCTCACGTAATTTCTAAAATAAGAAGATAAGAAAATAAAAAATAAATTGCCATATTTGAAAATGTACGCTCTGCATCACTTTTTCTTCCTTTTGGCCATGGTAACTTACTAAAGAAGCAAATGTGATGATTGCGTAGGATGCATGCTCACCTGCAAAATCTCAATCCATCGGTTAAGTGGGTCTCACGTGGGGCCGTAAAATCCAAGCGTCTAAATTTTGCACGTGCTCGTGCACGGAGTTCCTGAGTTCATCCTCTAAAAAGCCCGTTACTGCTACTTTCTATCCTTCTTGCTCAGGACCCGAGACGGATGTCTGCTATAAACTGCATTTAATTAACCTCGGAGAGAGAGAGAGAGAGAGATCTTGTTGATCAGCAACACCCAGCTGAAGATGTTAGTATACGGGGCAGAGTGAAGTGCATTTGCAAGAGGTGAATGGTGGACTTGGTGACACATGGAGAGCAGAAGAGTAGTTTGGTTTTGTAGCATGTAAAAGGAGCCGATGAAGTCTTCCCTCTTGACCTTGACAAGTTTCGAGATTCCTTCGCCGAGAAGCTCCTTTGCCAAGAAGCATGTAACAGTGTGCTCAACCCTTTTCACATCTCTGTTGCCTTTATAAATGTGTAGATACTAGAGCTAAAGCACGTCCAAAGCGCCAGCACGATGCTGAGTGTTTGTGTACGAAAATTGTAAAAAAACAAAAAGTAATCAATTTGGGAGGAATAAAGTGGACGTAGCGAGTAATTATAAAACATGTAAATTGAGTTACAATTAATGACATAAGCATAATGGTTAGTTCGATCTTTATATTTTTTTTATCAGTAGTAATTATGAAAATATCAAAAAAGTGAAACATACCTTTCTTTTCCCATATTATCGTTAGATGTATCTACTCTTTATCAAATATAAGTAGCTGGCAGCTTTTATTCTCAAAGTTTAGCCATAAGATTTCTATTTTTACTTGGTCTAAAGAAATGTAACTTGAGGATACTGTACAAAAGATCGGTTACGTCACATCAGGATAAAAACAGTAGGAGTATTATAACTTTTTTTTCACTCACTTAAGTGCCACAAATTTAAAAAAATGATCAATTAAGTGCAATCAGCGATTTTCTCGCTGGAAAATCCAACGTGGATGCTGATCATCATACGTGGCATCGCTGGTGCTGATGTGTACACTTTTTTATTTTTAATTATTTTTTTAATCTTTTTATTTTTTATTTGTTTTCCTTTTTTTTCTTTGCTTTTGCCATCACCCAGGAGAAGCAGTCGAACATGTTCTTGTATAGCTCCAAGGTGCCCTTTGTTTGGAGGTTGGTCTTGATAGTGTCGAGCGGGCGCAAGCACACGTAAGTGAACGCGCTGGCAATCCTACCTCCAGCTACTTCGATCAGGGCTTGCTCAAAGATGGAGAGGTTCTTCATGAGGGACTGCACTTTAGGACTATTTCTTGAGGTGCGTCTGATCAATTTGGAGTAATTAAGAGGGGAATTAGGGTTTTCAAAATAGAGGGTTGTGGAGGAGAAATTGAAGGCGGCGGCGGGATGTGCAGCGGTCTCGGGGGGTCTTGAGGGCAGAGGCAAAATGAGGGAATTGAAATGAGTAATGAGGCTTGTGAATTTGGATGGAAACGGGTGGTGATTGAGGTGCGGAAATGAGAAGTCAAGAGATGCAGAGAGCCTTCCTTCCATTCTCTCTCAAGCTTTAGCTCTTGGCTGCCATGGCTTATCAAGCTTCAAGCTCACGACGAACACCTTTGCCCAGTCGGAGAAAATGGGTGAGCACCTAATTGGCTGTTTGTCTACGAGAAATCGTTTCCTATGACCTCCGACTTTTGGCATCCCCATCTCCATTTTGCTCGCAGTGGCCATCATGATTTGAAACTCGAGCGGCCATGGCGGCCCGAAGCTTAGAGCTTGAGCGGCCATGGCAGCTCCTCTCTCTCTCTCCTTAAGTTTTTCTTTTTCTTTCTTTTTCTCCCTTCGTGTTTCTCTCTTTTCTTTTATGTTGTACATAGCAATAAATTCATCTCTCTAATTTTACATACGACAATTTGCTAAAAATGACACTTAAATGATCGATTTTACTCCGATATGACACTTAAATGAATGAGAAAAAAAATTATGACACTCAAGTAAGCGTCGTACGAAAGTTATGGCACCCTTGCTATTCTTATCTCAGTCACGTCAATCTCGTGATCAATAAAGGACATACTCTCCTAAACCACTCCAGAGACTGCACTCAATCCATACGGATCAAGGCTGGGCAATAATTTCCCGGCCCCTCCTTTCAACTTTCAGTTAAAAAGATAAATGCAGAGTCTTCAAAAGATAGAGAAAAAAAAAGCTACTTTTAAATTCGTGGCTCATATTTCCTTATGCTTTCCCTTTTTAAAGGGGGAAGTGTGAAAACCCTAGGTTGTACAATAACACTACGAATTATATTATTCGCCGGGAAGAAGACTCGTATGATGAGGCCTCGTCACTGTATTAGATGCTGCAAAGGCCAGATGTCAGTAAGAGCCATAAAGAAAACCAACCGTTTTGCTCCTATATTATGATAAAGTTGAAAAAAAAATTAGAATATCTGTAGAATTCAGAGTATCTACATTAGAATTGAAATCACATGTCTGGTGTTAGGCGGTCCAAATCTTTGAATCAATCAAGACGGACGAAGTCGTATGAACTAGGAACTAGGTTATCTATACTTGACTGGAATGAGGTGATCGACAGGGAACCATAACCTATTTATAGTGGGTATTCTAATAGTCTTATCCATTATAGGTCACTTTTACGAACTAGCCTATACTAACCACCCGATCACATTGCAATATTGAAACCGAGATGCGCTAAGCCCACTCTAACTCGATCGCATATGTCTCATATGTCTAATTTACTTTAGAACGGTATGATTTTCATAAATTAAAATATTACGCGATTACTAGTTTCTCTATTCATGCCCCCACAAAAGAACTAACCTTTTTTGTCCTGCTGATATGCCCACAACAGTTTACAATTCCCTATGTTTGTAGAACAAACAGCGTATTAGATCAGCGAATTCTATAATTGTCCGCCTGGCGTTCTTTTTGGTGGGCGTTAGAATTCCGCTCAATTTATTCGTCCGTTCTCTCGCGCTTGCGTTCCTTTGCTTTCCATTTTGCAGACGCGAGGGAAAGAGTCAGAGATAGAGCTGGCTTTCTTTGTTTAGTCGCATGACCTTTTCTCTTTTGTTGTGGGCTTTCACTCGCTCTAGGCTCAATTTGTTTCTCTTTTGCTCCTTTTGTGGTGTCATGAATCGAGCTCACCAAAACTAAAATTCGGCGGGTTTAATGTATCTTGGCCGCCGGATTGAAGCTAAAGTATCGACTTGAGCGGAGACAAATGGGTTTGAACCGAAAGCGGGTTTGATTCGAACTTATGAATCATTACGCCATTTTTATTCATTTTCTATATTCTTACAAACATTACATGCCTAATTTGTCGGCAAAATTCGACTGTCAACAATTGGTGGCATTGTACCTAGAAAAAATTAAAAGGTCAGAAGTCATCAAATGACCAAAAACACTACTTTTCATGGCTCAGAATTGTTTCCGATTACCTTTGGTAAATTTGAGAATCCGAAAGATGTAGTACGTGGATATCTTCTGACCCAACCCAGAGGAAAACTTATAGATAACGTTACTCAGTGCGAAAACTTATACGATAAAGGTCGCTGCAAAGGCCAGAGGGCCAATCATGCCCATAAGAAAAGCAACCATTTTGCTTCCAAATGATAATGAAAGTTGCAGACCGTTAAGACAGACATGGAATGAGAAACTCCTTGCAAGAGACTAACGGAAGATGAACGAAGAGGATTCTCATTTCTCTAAGTAACGACTCCGTATCCCAATTTATTCAAGTTCTAAAAAGCATAGTATAAACAATTGCAGTGACTCCTTACTCTGGAACAAGAGGGTCGAGAAAGATCACCTTCGCTTGTGCCGAGGCTCGCCGGAATTGTAGTAACTCCTTCAGCAACCTGCCTTCTCCACTCGTGGAATTAGGCCGGATCGTCATCGTTTCTAGGTTCGGCAAGCTAGTAAGCAGAAACTTCATCAATTCCAGCTCTGGCTCACTACCAGAAATCCCACCCATCGATACAACTTGTACTTGTTCCACGCAACATGCTGCGTCTTCCCAAAAGTCTGCCAATTTTCCAATCCGTGTAGTCTGTTGATCCTTGGCACGACACTGTGTTTGTAACGATCAAAGACCAACTTTAACATTGAGATGCATAGAGAGTTTAATCTGGTCACTTTATCAAGGGAGGCAATGATTTCTTTTCTTTTTGGCTGAAACGGATTATTATACCATGATTCATTCTGAGAATGCAAAATTTAATCAATATAAAGTACATATTAGCTCTCTTTTTCCTCAAATCAATGATTAAAAGCACCAAGGTAAAATGATGATCACCGAAAAATCAATTCAATATACCTAAACAGATATTCTAAAACTTGATATAAAGGCGGCAACAATCTTCTGATACCGATTCATCTTTCTTCAAATGATGAACAATTTTGCAAAATAGAAAAGGATTCGTCGATTTGTTTTATTATGATATGTTATTGCATGCAATTTATTTAGCAAAATCCACTTGACTACAATTACAATTATGGATCATTGTACTTAAAGTTTGGTTCACTATGTGCTGCAAATTTTTAGCCAAGTAATTAAAATGTGGAGAAAATCCCACAAATAACTAAAATATGTGATAAAAGTTTCTGAAAAAAATACTAAATCAATCCACTAAACTCTAATCTCAATTGATCATACTCACCTGAAAGGCTACATGTTTCAACTCAGGAGAGCTTTTGATCAGGCACATAACAGTCAAAATTTCCTCCACACTATTGAAGTCTATGCATGTGAAGAGGTAATTCAAATGAACGAGTTCATCGGGCAGTGTCTGCGGAGCACTTCCAATAGCCAAATACTGCACAAATCAGCCAAAATCAAGTGTCAATAGATACCAAGGATATAGTTATAATACCAAAATATTTTGATCTTAAACATAATAGTGAATAAAGTCCTAACATATTTCAGAATTTTTGCGCTTAAAATGTACCTTCAGTGAGTATTTTTCAAGAATGAGACTATGAAGTTTGGGCAGATTTCGGAAGAGTTTACGCAAATTGTTCGAGTTGGCATAGTTGGATCCACGTTTATTAGCAATATCATCAGAGAAACCAACCATGAGTGACATCAAACTGTTCATAACACCGAAAGCGACATCCTGAAATGCTCCTTCAACATCAAGCCACTCGAGGTTGCCAGCATCGACGTTAATTTGCTTAATCCCTTCTAGGTTCCTCAACTTCAAACGTTTTAGTAGAGGGCACCGAGAAATCAAAGCCTCAAGCCCGTCCAGAGACAATTGAACGTGCTGAAGATCCAAACTTTCCAAGTTATGGAATCCTTCAAATGTCGACGGGATTTTCACCAAACATCTGTACAGTTCCAAATGAATCAAGTATTGGCAATTGAATAAGGAGGAGGGAATCTTGTAATACTGCCATGTCCAGATGTCGAGTACAATTTCTTTGATGGACACTCTGGATAGATGAAGAATCCAGTGGTCAATGTCACTCGCGGCACAAAATTCTTCATGCGAGAGCTTGAACTTCTGTATTGGGCCATTATGAAGTAAGAGAACCTTGTCAATTATCTTCACCAAGTCTTCGTGCAGAGATGGTTGAAGAGAAGGAATTCTTGTGGCCCTAGTGCATTGGTCATCGAACACAAGTTGTGGAACAGAGCACCATTTGTACCTCCACCTTCTTGACAAAATACTAGTCCTCACTACATCCTTAATTGGCAAGTGAGACAGGATTTGGTCCATTATGTGCCCCGGTAATTGGTTAATCTTGTCCAACTCATTCGTCATTTTTATTCTCACCTGTAATAATTTGGAATTTCTCAAAAACATTGACGCATTGGAAACGATTAGACGCGAATAATTTTAAAAAACTCTAATAAAATTCTAAGTATAAAATAATAAATATATAAGCTGATAAGAAAACGAACATACTAAATCTCAAATATAAAAATGAATGACTACTAAAAATTGAAAAAAAAAATCACCTATTGTGCTAACGTAATTTTAAAGATAAAACGATAAGGAAACAAATAAAATTGTAATATTCGAAGTTGTACACGCCGCATTAATTTTTCTTTCTTTTGGCCATCAATTGGAATTCCCTACAATGCGTGGTAACTTACTAAAGAAGTGACTATCATGAGTCATAGGATGCATTTTCAACCTTGAAATCTCGATCCTTGGATCAAGTGGGACTCATAAGAAGCCGCGAAATCCAAGGGTCTAAATTCTGTGAGTGTAGATGCTCGGAGTTCAGAAGGTTCGTACTCTAAAAAAATCCACCACTACTACTTTCGGACCTTCTCGCCTCGCCCAAGGTCCAAGACAGATGTTAGAGTCAATAGATATTACTTTTGCATAAATAAATACCATGGAAAGTTCGGCTCAAAAAAAAATAACATGCGAAGTTCGGGTACATTTCTCACCGGAGGAATTGTTCTTGCTTAGCGATGTAGTTGGTCGAGCTTTGAGAGAGAGATGAAGTGCAATTGCATGGAGCAAGACGAAGTGCTGAATACAAGAAGGGGAGTGTGGTGAAGTAGAGAGACAGGGCAGCAAGGGAAGCCGGTTTGCTTTTTTAAAGTGGAAAATTTGAATAAAGCCAAGGCAAACCCTTGTGTAACAAGTTACATTAGAACTCCTTTGTCAACAAGTTTTTGACAGTGTCCCACCCCTTTTCCAACTCTGTCGCCTTCTACTTGGCTCCTAGCATGTCCTCTGTCTATTACAAGAATGAATCGGCTGTCTTTTCTCATAATTATTCATTGAAATTCCATGGTGTGCGGTGCGTGCCCTCCAACTTCAATTCTTCATCAATGTTGCTCCGAAAGTGGCGCCCCTCATTTCCCTTAAAGTGAGTTCTAGGACCTCTAATCATGGTCAAAAAATGATTTTTAAGGACTTAATATTGCGGAAATGAAGTCGGATGACCCCACCTGCGAGGACCGCCTCGACGTAGACCTAACTCTTGGCTTCATCATCTTTGGAACTTACCCTGTCAATATTGAACTTGTTGAAAAGTTCTTGCCACAAGCTTTTTGACAACGTGAAGATGCATAGCAATTTAGTAGTCACTGTCCTCTGTAGAAGATGCATCATCTGCGTCTGTCATCTTCTGCAGATCTGCTCGAGGAAGCTTTAAGGCTCCGTTTATTTCACGGAAAATAACTTTCAAGAAAACGTTTTTCGAATTTTTCAGCATTTGGTTCACGGAAAATAAAGTAGTCAAGGAAAACATTTTCCGCCAATAAAAAAAACACCTGATACAGCGAGGTCGAGCTTACCTGAGGGAGCTCGCCCAAGGTCAACGAGCTCGAGGTCGCTAGAGCCTCGCCAACCTTTGGCAACCTCGGGCAAGGCTCAAGCCTCATCCAACTTGTCAGATTAGGCGAGGCTCGAGCTCCCCTGTGGCCATCCGTCACTGTGGTCGACGATCGGCGAGGAAGAAGCAAAAAGAAAAAGAAAGAGAAGGAAAAAAAAGAGAAAATTAATTAAATTAATTAAAAATATTTATAAGTCGAATTTTTTAGTGATTTTCCCCAGAAAATCAAATCAAATATCAAACGGTGAAAAATATTTTCTAGTTCATTTTCAAGTTTCAACCAAACACCAGAAAATATTATCATTTTCCTGAAAAATGGCTTCCTAGAAAATATTTCTAAAAATGTCACTTTTTTCGCAAAACAAACGGATCCAATTAGCTAATATAATGAATAAAGGATTTTCATTTTTCTTAGTAATACCCAAAAATGGTATAATAGTACATTCAAGTTCAACTCAGCATAGCAAAATAATTGCAATGACTGATACTCCCATGTGCGATTCAATCTTAACGTAGGTTGGCTTCCGGATCGACTAGATCACAGAAAGATCACCTCCGCTTGCGCTGAGGCTCGCCGGAACCGTAGCAGCTCCCTGAGCAACTTGCCTTCTCCATGCTTGAAAATTGGCTGGATCGTCATCTTTTGTAGGTTGGGCAAGCTAGCAAGCAGAAACTTCACCAATTCCAGCTCTGGTTCATTGCCAAAAATCCCACTCATCGATACAACTTGTACTTGTTCTTGGCAACACGCACTGTGGTCTTCTCGAAAGTCAGCCACTGTCTCAATCCTTGCTGTATGTTGATACTTGGCACGATTCTGTGTTTTTTATCATCAAAGAGCGACTTTAACACAGAGATGGGTAGAGTGGGGACTTAATCTAGTCATTTTTATCAAGAGACAAAGAGCTTGATTTGTCTATTTTCTTTATTATGATCCCTGTATTACAATAGCTTTTTTTTTAGTGGCTGAAGCAGATTATTATACCATCATTCATTCTGAGAATGCATAATTTAATCACTATAAAGTACAAATTAACTCTCTTTTTCCTCAAACCAATGATCAAAAGCACCATTGTAACATCATGATCACCGAAAATCAAATCAAATCAAATTTACCCAACATATATATAAACTTGATACAAAGGAAGAATAATGACGTACGATTTTGCTAAATAGAAAAGGATTCACCGATTTATTTCATCATGATATATTATATAGCATACAACTTATTTAGCAAAATCCACTTGCACTACATAGATAAGTCACTTTAAGTTTGGTTCTTTATGTGCTTCAATTTTTTTGCCAACTAATAAAAAATGTGGATAAATCTCATAAATAACTAAATTAGATCTGATAATAGTTTCAAAGAAGTACTAGATTAGTCCGCTAGACAATAATCTCAACAATCATACTCACCTGAAAGTCTACTTGTTTCAACTGAGGAGACCTTTTAATCAGGCACATAACAGTCAAAATCTCCTCCTTACAATTGAAGTCTATGCATGTGAAGAGGTACTTCAAATGATCGAGTGCATAAGGCCGTGTCTGTGAAACATTTCCAGCAGCCAAATACTGCACATGTCAGCCAAAATCAGTTGTCAATAGATTCGAACGATTTAGTAACTGAACCAACACATTTGCATCTCAAAAATAATAATAACGAATTTCAGAACCTATGCTCTTAAAATGTACCTTTAGTGAGTCATTTTCAAGCTTGAGATTATGAATTATGGGCAGACGTCGGAAGAATTTGCGCAAATTGCTTAAGTAGACAATGTTGAGTCCAAGTTTGTTGAAATCATCAGACAAACCTATACTGACCAACTTCAAACGTTTCATAAGACCAAAAGCAATGTCCGGAAAAGCTCCATTAAGATCAAGCGACTCAAGGTTGCAAGCTTTGATTTTAATTCGAGTAATCGTCTTTAAATGATTCAACCCCAAACGTTTTAGCAGGGGGCACCGAGAAATCAGAGCCTTAAGCCCATCTGGAGACAAATCAATGCACCGAAGATCCAAACTTTCCAAGTTCTTGAAGCCTTCAAACGTCGACGGGATATTCACCAAACATCCGTACAATTCCAAATGAATCAAGTCTTGGCAATTGAATAAGGAGGTGGGAATCTTGTAATTCTGCAAATTCCAGATGTCCAATACAATTTCTTTGACGGAGATTCTGGATAGATAAAGAATCCAGTGGTCAATATCACTCGTGGCGCAAAATCCCGGGTGAGAAAGCTTGAACTTTTGTAATGGGCCAATATGAAGTAAGAGGACCTTGTCAATTATCTTCACCAAGTTTTCATCGGAGATGTGGCGTTGGTACATTGGTCATCAAACACAAGCTGTGGAAGAGAGGACCATTTGTCCCTCCACTTTCTCGACAAAATACTAGTTCTCACTGCATCCTTAATCGGCATGTGGGACAAGATTTGGTCTGTTATGTTCCCTGGTAACTGACTAATCTTGTCCAACTCATTCGCCATCTATTTCTCACTTGTGATACTCCGGAATTTCTGACAAACATTAATGCATTAGAAACAGCTAGACAAATAAATTTTTTTTAAAAAAATCCCATAATGAAATTCTAAGTTTGAAATAAGGAAAATATAAACTACGAACATACTAAATCTTAAATATATAAATGGATAACTACTCAAAATTGAAAAACATCATTGATATCCTCACGTAATTTCTAAGATAAGAAGATAAGGAAATGAAAAACAAATTGTCATATTTATAAATGTACGCTCTGCATCAATCTTCCTTTCTTTTGGCCATTAATTGGAATTCCCCAAAATGCGTGGTAACTCACTAAAGAAGCAAGTGTTATGATTGCACAGGATCCATGTTCAACCCCCCATAAATCTCGATCAATGGATTATGTGGGACTCATGTGGAGCCGTGAAACCAAGTTCGTCCTCTTAAAAAACCATTTACTACTACTATATCTAACCTTCTTGCCCAAGGCCCGAGACAGAAGTTAGAATCGATATATCTTTTGCATAAATACGATGTAAAGTTCGACTATGTTGCTCACCGGAGGATTTGTTGAAGTGACTGTACTGTTCTTGCTTAGCAATTTATCGACCTTTCTGCAACAAACTGCATTTAGTTAACCACGAGAGAGAGAGAGAGCTTGTTGATCAGTAAAACCCAGTTGAAGGTGTTAGTATACGGGGCAGAGTGAAGTGCATTTGCAAGAGGTGAATAGTGAACTTGGAGACTCAAGGAGAGCCGATGGTTTTCTAGCATATAAATGGAGCCAGTGAAGTCTTTGTCCCTCTTGACTAGTTATGAGACTCCTTCGCCGAGAAGCTCCTTTGCCAAGAAGCAAGTGACAGTGTGTTCAACCCTTTTCTCAGCTCTGTTGCCTTTTTAAATGTGTAGATACTAAAGTTAAAGCACGGCCAAAGCGCCCCCATGATGCTGTGTGTTTGTGTACGAAAGAAAGGTGAACTTAGTGGTTAATTAATGAAGTGGATGGAGTGAGTAATTATAAAACATGTAAATAGCTTGATCAATAAATAAAATGAGCATGATGTGTAGATTTAATCTTCGTATTCTGCATGCAAGTGTAATTAGGGTTTACTCTTCATTACATATAAGTAGACGGCGGCTTTTACTCTCGAAGTTAGCCATAAGATTTCGTGTTTTGCCCCAGTCTACACTACAACTTAAGGATATTATAATAATCTCGCAGCCACTCCGCTCTCCCACTATCTCCATGGCTCTCTCTCTCTCTCTCTAACAGGAAAAGGTGATTATGTAGCAATCGCATCACATCACAGTGACAATAAAAAAAGGAAGCCAAGCAATAGATTTCAAAATTCAAACACAAATTAAGTCATGTCAATCTTGTGATCAGTAATGGACATACTTTCCTAAACCACTTCACTGTAATGGCATTCGGTCTATGACGGATCGAGGACAGGCAAGAATTTCCCGGGCCCTCCTTTAATCTTCAGTTAAAAAGATAAATACAAAGTCTCCTAAGGATAAAAATTAAAAAGCTACTTTTCAATTCGTGGCTCATGTTTCTTGATGCTGTCCCTCTTTAAAGTGGGAAGTATGCAAAACCCTAGGTTGTACAGAAACCCTATGAGTTATATTACCCACTGGGAAGACTCGCATGATGAGAATTCGTCACTGTATTAGATGCTGCAGAGACCAGAGGCCTATCAAAAGTCATAAAGAAACCAGTCCTTTTGCTCCTATATCA